GAGAGAGAGAGAGAGAGAGAGAGAGAGAGAGAGAAAGGGAAATATAGGAAATTCCATAACTTCAAAGGATAAACTGAATGTGGCCACATGGCTTTTACAGACAATTACTGACATCCAAGAAGCTTTTAAAATAATTTCCTTCATGGAGGGTAACTGGAGCTACAAAATGAAACTTTAAGAGCACTGCAATATCATACATAAATGCATTGGGATGAGCAGTCATGCTTGAAAAAGGAGGCTTAGGTCAACTGTGTCAAAGCCTTGAAAACCTGAGTAGCTGGAGTACAGGTGCTCAATAACTACAGTCCTTCCAGAAAAAAGCTAGCATCTGGTTCTCCACATCCAATGATGAGCTGCAGGGGAGTCAGGCTCACCTACTGACTTTACATGCCTAGTAAGGGTAATGGTCACTTAAAGTGCAAGAGATTCTACAGAAACAAGTTACGATGGAGTGTAGGAACTCTGGTTTGACAAAGATTCATAGGCACCAAAGGAAACAAAGGCAGGTGAGACACATCATTTTTAAAGGTTTCTCTGCCCTTGGAGTAGGGAAGAATGTTTAAAAGAAAGACTTCAGGTAAGATTTTTTACATTCATAAAATGATAAACCATCATACGAACTGTTAACTGGTACTCTGTAAAGCATCATTAAAAACTCAGTGGTCTATGGCCATGCCACCCTGAACAAGCCCCATCCTGCCTGATCTTGGAAGCTAAGCAGGGTTGGGCCTGGTTTGTACTTGGATGGGAGACCACCTAGGAAGACCAGGTGCTGTAGGTGTAAAAAATTAAAAAATAAGGGATTGTAAGCTGACAAGGTCCTTGCAATCTGTAAGGTCAACCAAGGGTTGCCTCGTCTAAAAAAAATAAAAATAAAAATAATTGCTAAAAAAAAAAAAAAGAGGTACCATCTTGATAGTTCTTAATGCCCAATGATGAAACCTACTCTTAATGAGAAAAGGATAGTGGGGGGAGGGGGGCAGGACCTGCAAAACAAAGTAAAGCTGTGTCCTGGGAAGCTAAACCAGCTGCACCTTAAAAAAATTCGGCATTGTCTGGTAAAGTTACGTACACCCTCAACAATTTTAGGACTCCACGGTACATATCCTAAAAAACCTTTTACACATTTGCACTAGTATCTAGGTATAAGAAAGCTTATAGCATTATTCTTAGTATTACCAAACTGGAACAAAATGCCATCAACAATAGAATGGATACAGTTCTATTCATACGACAGAATACTAGACAGCAACGAAAATTACCTAATACACAATTTCTATTAATTCAAAGTCACAAAATAACAATATGATCCCACTCATAAAAGTTCAAAAACAGGCATAGAAAAACTATTGTTTAGGCATGCATACCTAGTTGGTAAAGCTATAAGGAAAAAAGCGAGTAAGTGAATAAACCAGTCTGGGGAGGGAATTGTGCTCAGAAAGGAATATAAGGTGTGGGTGGAACTTCTGAGGTACCAGCAATGTTGTTTTTATCTGGATGTTTTATTAGTATTCTTTACACATGTACGTTGTTATCGTTGTTATGTACTTTCCAGCATGTTATATCGCATAATATTTTATCGGTAATCCTGCAGATTCACACTTCCAAAAAGGTGTATAGCTCGCGGACGATGAACCTAGCCATTAAGGAAGGACAACTCTTAAGAGAAACAGGCCCTAAAAACTGTCGGGTCGTCACAGATAGGCAATCTGATGCACACCCTGCACACCCTCTCCCTACTTTAACTAAAGATTTCACGGGGTCGAGACTCCATGAGACCCAAGAAGGATCCACGGTTCTCCTCACCGCTGGCCAAGTCCACCTACTACCATCTAGACGCCACACTTCGGCCCTTCCACCGTCTCCGGGGGAGTCCGGTCGGGATCGGGGTACTCTGGGGCTTAGCCTCAGGCTTCCTAAAGGAACGTGGAGCCCCGGAGTCCGAGGCATCAACTCCCCCGCCGCGAAGAGCCTCGGCAGTCCCGAGGCGACCCCGGGGTAGTGCCGCCCACGCGGAGCCCTGCTCGGGTTCCTCCGGCTCCGACGCAGGTAGGCGTGCCCAGCCGCGGCCCTGAGGCCGGGGAGGGGTGGGAAGGGGGCGCGTACCTCTCCACCGCAGAGGATACCTTGCCAATTCCCGAAGATAGAGAATTATTTCCGGGGACTGCCCCCGCCACCCCTCCCAGACAACCACTAGCAGTCCCCTTTCTACTTTGGAGTGCGGGCACAGGCGCACGCGCACTGCCGCGCTTCCGTGAGGGCGCGCGCC